GGGTTAGGGTTAGGGTTAGGGTTAGGGTTAGGGTTAGGGTTAGGGTTAGGGTAGGCAGTGTCTTTAGGGTTGCTTCAAAGAGACAGAACCGAGACCAGAGGGTAGATACTATCATGAGGTCAGCTGCAGCTTTAACTGAGGAAGAACTTTCTTACAGCAGCTTCCCAGAGGTAGTGAGGTTCCTGAGCCCATCACTGAGGAGACAGTGGGAGGAGTCGACTTTAAGGGTCTGGGTTTCTGTCCCTGCTAGGCCTGCCACCCCAGACCCTGGTTCCTGGATCCTGCAGAAAGTGTAGCTCTCCCCACCAGGGATAGGGACAGGGAGACCTAGCTCAGATTCCTGCCCTCCCTCCCTGCACTTCTCCCTTTGGGGAATGGCCCCTCTCCTCACCCCATTTCTGCTGCCCTGCCTCCTGCTCTGCCATCTCCGGAGGGTCCATGACCTCCTTCATTGTTAAGAATCTCAAGTCCTTCCATAGCTCAAGCCTAAATCCTTCTAAGAATCGGATGAAAAGTTATGTTCTGTTTTCCATAGATGGGAAGACTGGCCCTCCCTCTTGGGTGAACAAAACCCTCTCCTGTGTTGGCCGGAAAAAAAGGAACCACAGTGCCTGACCCTTTACATTGGACTCTTAGAACATCCTTGCTTAGAGTGGTAAGTCTTTAGCCTTTACCCCTTTCCTGGAAATTACGAAGCAGCCGAGAATCCTGCACCTCCTCCTCCTTCCTCCCTCTCTGCTGGCCCTGCCCAGCTGCCACTAAGTGGGCATCCCTGGTCGGATTTTGCCTCATTCAGTTACCTTGTCTCCTGATTCCCACCTCCTCCCTTCTTCCCCGTAGGCGTCACTCATCTCACCTCTGCTTCCTGCACCTGCCACCAGCATGATTCACACTTGGGTCACTACCTACCAGGATGCATTAACTTGTCCACCCACTCCTGCCTCTCTTCTTAAACAAAAGCCAACAGCCCTAGACCCCTCCCTCCTGTACTCCTGACGAGTACCCCCTCCTCTTACTGCTGCTGTTCCCCAGGGACTCTCACCAGCTGCCCTTCCTCTCTCCACCCCCCAACACTGGATGCCTCTACCTGGCCCCTCAAAGTGCAATGGGAGAAAGAGCTTTGAAATCAAACACATTTGATTTGTTACTCAGCTGCTAACCAGGGAGGTACTGGCTTTTGGGGATGGGGGCGGGGGGATTGTTTTTTAATCCCAGGTTTACTACCTGCTCCCTGTGTTAACTTGGGCAAGTTATTTAACTCAGTTTCCTCTTCTATAAAATGAGAGTAATACTGGTACCTACTTCAGAGGTCTGTGGTGAGGATTAAATAATTAATGTAGAATTTAATTTGTCTGACACATATTAAGTTTATATAAGGTTTAGCTCTTGGTGCTCTTGTTGTTGCTTTAGTTGCTGTGTGACCTTGCTCAATTGTTTCGCCTCCATTTCCTCTTCTGCAAAATGAAATAATAATAACACCTGCCTCCATGGGCTTGTCGGGATTAAATGAGGTAGTGCTTGTAAAGCATCCAGTATCCGGGCGAGCACATAGTAGGAATTCAATAACCTTCCTCTGCACTGAGGAGCTTCCCCTGACTCCCCTCCCTTCCTGGGTGCTCTCTCCACTAGGCCCTGCAGCAGCCCAGCCCATCAGGCACAAGGGATTTTTTCTTTTGTTTTTTTAAAATTGATTTCACAGAGGAAGAGTGAGGGAGAGAGAGATAGAAACATCAATGATAAAAGAGAATCACTGATGGGCTGGCTCCAGTACGACCCCTACTGGGGATCAACCTGCATCCTGGGCATGTGCCCTAACCAGGAATTGAACCGTGACCTCTTGGTTCATAGGTCGGTGCTCAACTACTGAGCCACACCGGCCGGGCACAAGGGATTCTTTCTGTATGGGTGCCTGTCTCCCGGCCTTCAGGCACATGGAGGCAGAGGTTCTGGTTTTCATTCTCTGAGGCTTTTTCCTGGACTGTCCAGGACCTGCATCCAACGGAACCTTAGAAAATATGCAGGCCTCAACAGACTCACCCCTGCCCTCTCCATTTCTCACCTACATCTTTCAACTACAGTAGTATTTGAGCACTTACTACTCTGCCTGTTGTCCCTCCTGCTTGCTAGCCCTTCCCTCCCTGCTGGCTCAGAGCAGTCCAGTGTCCATCCTCTCCACCAAGGCCAAAGGCGATGAGGGGTGGGGAAATGGGATAAGGATTAGAGCAGGAGAGCTACAGAGGGCCAGGAAGAAGAGGAGCAAAGCCAGTGGCCACCCAGGGAAGAGAAAAGAGGCTGAGGGAGGAATAATAAAGAACTGGGAAATGCCATGTAAACACCTCAGGAAACTTTACTTATTCTACATCCCACATCTTGGGTATTGAGAAGAGGTAGGGGGTTTGTGATCAGGCAAACAGAGGGTAAGTCACAGCTCAGTTACTATCTTGTGGCCCTGAGAGCTGTCTCTTTTTGGCTCAGTTTCCTCAAGTGTCCAGTGGGATATTAATAGTACCTGTCTTGGAGGATTGTTGGGAGAATTAAAGGAGGGGCCTGTAGAGGACTCAGTAGTGCCTGGTGCATAAAGAAGCTTCGTAGTAAATGGCCCCTTACCCTGGACACTCTACAAAACAGCCCAGCAGTTTTTTCCCTGCAGGACAGGACGTCCCAACCCTCATTAGCCCAACACACACCTTTGGGTACAATAGAATATATGAGACCTTCACCACCAACATGTGACCAAACCCAATCCTCCATTGCACGCACACCCAATGTGCTTGCTCACCCAATACACACACTCACACAATTGCAAACACATGCACCCATAAATCTTCCACTCCTTGAAGGTAGAGACTAGACCTCACACAATCTTTATTATAATTAGCACAGTGTGCTGCAGGCATTTGTCTATATGCCTAGCGCTTCCATTTTTTCTTTCCCCGTACCCGGCAAACTACCTGGCCCTCCATGAAAATTGTATGAATTGTTAAGAAGCCCATCTGCCAGGTGCCTAGCACTGTGTCTGGCTTGCGGCAGGAGTTCCCACCGTGCTGCATGGCTGAGTGACCACAAATACAAGGTACATACAAACACCAGCCCCACCCTCCTTTCTTCTCCACAGTTTACCACCCCCTCTGGCTTCCAGACCAAACGTTGGCAAAAAGCACTGATGAAACCCAAAACTTCAGGACACACCCAGGTTCCTGGGCAGGGGTCACCTCCCTATTTTCGCCTGGGTCTTCGGGCGACCAGCTGGACAAGGGAAGAGGGGAACAGCTATCTTGTCCCGTTCTCCTTCTGGCTCCCTAACTCTCCACCCCCAGTCTGAAGGCTCCCCATTGCCATAGCACCTGAGATAGGTTCTTCTCTGGAGGAGGCGGCCCTGTTCTTTGCTCTCCTCTCCCTCCAGGGAAAGGCTGGGGATGACCTCCACCCTGCCCTTTGGGAAGTTACCAGCACCTTGACTTCATTAGCGCCCCCTACTGCTTGCAGGAGGAAGGGAGGAGGAAGGCACTGTCGGTCCAACAACCACACTTTGAATAAGCCTTGGACACTAGGAAAACTCCACTGGAAAGAACTGCCAGCCCAGCAAGTGGGGAGTTCCCAATCTTGCCCAAAGGGAGGTCTGCCTGGGGGCGGTTTTGGCTTCTACCCCTGGGCCTGAGAGTCTGCCTGCCCAGTGGGCATCTCCGTACCCTCTGCGCCACCCTTGCAGGCACCGGGGTGGGGGGGGGGGGGG